AATCCCTTCAACGCATGTTAGACTGTGCAGCGAACTGGTGTTCAAGGTGGCGACTACAAGTCAACATAAAGAAAACGAGAGTAGTCCATTACCGTTCGCCATCCATACCCCGATCTTCATATCAATTTTCCATTGGAGAAGATGATATCGGCTTCAGTGGTGCTTATAAGTATCTGGGCATTTCGTTTCAAGAACATCTTGACCTCAACTTTACAGCTAAAGAAATTGCAAAATCAGCAAATAGAGCACTCATAGTGATAATATGTAAATTTAAATCAGCTGGTGGAATGGCATATGAAGTTTTTAATACATTGTATAATAATCTTGTTCAGTCTATACTGTCTTACGGTTCTGCTATTTGGGGGACAAGAGAATATTCATCAATTAACGCTGTGCAGAACAAGGCCTGCCGCTTCTTCCTTGCTGTTGGACGTAAAACTCCTAATCTATCAGTCCGAGGTGAAATGGGTTGGACAGCTCCCTCCATGAAGCATAAACTTGAAACGATACAACTTTGGCGAAAACTGTGTAATATGGACTCTGACAGAATCCCAAGTACGATTAATCTCTGGTCGAGTAGATTTCGCAAATCATGGCATAGCAAAGTAAAAGACTTTCTACTTAGCCTTCAAGTTGATATAAGAGACATACTTACTATTACAGATAATGAATTTATGTGCATTAAGGAATGGCTTTTATTGAAAGATCACAATGACTGGATCAACGGCTTATGGAATGATCATAATAATCCAAATGGCAACAAATTACGATTTTACGGGCTATTCAAGTATACCTTATCACCTGAACTCTATGTCAAATCTACTCTTAATCGTTCACAACGAAGTATTCTCAGCAAACTACGATGTGGCTCCTTACCACTGGAAGTAGAAGTCGGACGCTTCACACGACCTGTAACACCACTGAAAGATCGCATATGCAAACTGTGCAGCAGTAGCTCCGTGGAAGATGAGGTGCATTTTCTTGTTGAGTGCAGCATTTATAATGAGATCAGAACTGAGCTCTTTGATAAGATATATATACATGATAACACTTTTAGTAACTTATCACAAGTGGATAAAGCTGCATATCTAATGTCAAATGAACATCATATAAAATCCATAGCCGCAACAGTGTCGAAAATGTTTTTATTTAGACAAAACCTTAGACATACATAGCATAATGGGCCATTATTTTACTACAGTATGTCATGTTACATTTTAAAATATTATTTTATGTATGATGTATTTTATGCTCTAAGTGTCTCATAGGCCAGTCTGGCCGGACACATAATTATGTGTGTGACACTATAATAAAATAATTTTCTTCTTCGTCTTCTTCTTCTGTAACCAGTATATGGTGGTATAAACCTACACATGTTATATGTCATAATTGACTTGATGGTCAGTTAAACATTGAACATTTAAAATGTGTTCACCGCTGCAATTTCGACTAGTCAAGTCGATAATCCTTTCGTTAATCCCTTAAACAATCATTACTAAAACAACACCAAACATCAAAGACTACCGCCAGTCGCCTTAACGCCCCCATGAAACACTCATGCCGCCCCCATGCCGCTATTAGCACATGCAGAACAATCATTTACCATCACCCACCAGTTATCTCCCCTTGCGGATATTTCCAAAATTGGAAATCTCATCTTTCCAAAATTGGAAATGTCTTGAAACATCATCTTTCCAAGACATTTCCAAGCTTGTAACTGTGGATTTTTTCCAGTGGCCCACAGCAGACGTTGACGTTGATGAAACGGCGTCAATATTGGCCCACGATATGGACGTCGAGAATGGAGATTGGCAGCCCGCAACCGATTTCGAATGGTCTGTGAGGACAGTCGACCTCTAAACACCTCAGCCCTGGTTCGTGTAGCCGGCAGAAATCTGTCTCGTAGGTGACGTAGGACGATTTGACGGTCTTCTGCTCGTGACGTCACACGTGGACGACCCGACCTTGGGCGATCAGAACTGGTGCCAGTTTGTTGTAGACGACCTCGCAAGTCATACACAGTATGCATCCCATTGCTGTTGCGACGTCAATAACTGATCTTCCCGCTTGCAACATGCCAACGGCACGTTTACGTTGCACATTTGACAATCGTAGCATTTAAAGTACCGTTAGAACTGTGGTTTAAGAGTGTTTTTTTCAATTCTTGAGGCCAATGCAACACGTGCATATGATGAAAACTTCGATGCGAAGATCACGTGATCAACTGCACGTGCAAAACCTGATATGACACTAACAACATTTGCACGACAAATGGATGGGTTTGAGTGGGTTTTGCTAACGTTTTTCTAGAGTCGAAAGATAGGGATCCCATTTCGGATACATAGATGTATCATCAGAGAAAAAAAATTCATCATTTTTAAAAAATACATTTTGTGAAGTTTCTTTTTTGACTCAGTATATAAATAGGCATTTGCTATGTACTTAGTTAAAAACTGTATATACCTATGTACCTAAGTAAAGTTTCAGATTTTTTTCTGCAATGGCAAAGTGTGGTTGTTTTGTTTATGGATTCAAATATATCAAATTTGTGTTTTTGATATCATAGCATACGTAATAGACATCACATTTTTATATGATTAAATATCGAGGTAAAAAAACACAGAAATAGGATCAAATTGGATCAGTCACAATACCGTCCAAACATTTGAAAATCTGAAAAAAACTACACTACAGGGATACTTAATTACAATCAAACAAGAATAACGGCGGATATTTTTTCAAATAACGGCATCTGATGGGCATCCACCCTTCCTAATGTCCCACTGATTAGGTTGAAGAAAATCTGTCAAGGTGGCTAGTTGCCCAGTTCCCGTGTCCCTCACGGTCGAGGGAGCAAGGGCTGACCAGTTTGCAGCTAGGTCTCGTAATTAGACTGTTGGCTGGAGACATAATCGCTCTGGATTAGTGGCCCTTTAATGAGCAGAGGGGATATCACGTGACATGACGTCATATGTGCCTGTTGCTGATGGCTTCCTCTTTCATTTTACCTCACAACTTAACAGTGTTCATGGACTCTGAAGCAGTAAAAGATGTTCCTGATGTCATTTCTGAAATGTTATACCGTATCAATACGATCTGATTTTACATCTTGCAAGACAATCTTCCAGTGAACATGAAGATGAAGAATCAAGCGAAACGGAGGCACCGCTTGATGTCAACATCAATTTTAAATAGACCATACCATTTAATAAGAATACTATTTGTCAGCAAAATGTGATACAGTTCCAACCAGCGATCCCACAACTGTAAATATATGACCAGTCCCTAAAAAATATATTGTTTTAAAAATGTGATTGTAGTTCCTTTCGTGTCAAATGGGTGGCTGTAGGATGTCTGGGATTTAAAAACAAAATAATTATGCTTCAGACGGGGAAAAATAGAAATTATCTGCTACAAAAATCACACTGGAATTATTTTATTGAAAGGAATAAGGACCCTAGTTGTCATTAATAACGTATCAAGTCTCCATACAAGATCCCAGCCTAGTCGAGCAGAGATAGTATTCGCGGCGCAGATAAATTATTCCCCAAAACTGGTGAATTATATAATACTAGTCAGGACAATGTACGTTTCCCTAATTTTTGGTTATGGAAATAGTTATGGTACTCGGTCATACCCTTAGAATGACTTCTTGTCTGCCAATGAGAATACAGAACAACTTTCACGGCACACACTACTGACAAATAGCGAGTATGAAGCCGACGTGTGTAATTGGACAAAATGGAAAACAATGAGAGCAACAAGTACTTCATGATTTGCCGTTGTATTCGGCAATGTCTCGGGAAGACTGCAGCATTTAGGGCTCAAAACCGAAAAGAACGTTATAGCGAAACATTTTCAAGCTCATGTGAAATCTCTTACCGATTTTGATATATATCTCATGGGTACCAGTCGAACTGCCCCAGCTACAAAATGCCCCAGCAAATTTGGTCACTCATTCTTATTTGGTCAATTTTATTTAAAATGATTAAATATATGCCGTAAATGAATAGTTTTTGTCCACTTTGATATAATGTTCTTCATACAGAAGGTATTAGGAAGTAATATTTCTGAAAGAGTTCCATTTGTCAACTCATAACTATGTATATACTTTTATATGAAGAACATAATATCTAAGTTGACAAAACTATGCATTTATGGCCAATATATCGCCCCAGGCCCAAAACTCTCTCACTTACGCATATATGTGCCCTCAGTTTAACTCCCACCAAAAGCATGCACGTAAATGGTCAAAAGCTCCAAACAATAATCCCCATAAGAAGGAAGAAATATAACCATTGTTTTCAACCATTGTTTACAACAGTCTTGAACTACACATGTCAGAAACGAAGCCATGTAGCCTGTCCGAATGTGCGAGTTTGGTTTGTTGCTACTCAGCTGCTGATTATGTAGTTAATACATGCTCATGCACAGCAATTTTCGGCCCCTCGACCAATAGGACCATCCTTACTCCAACCGCTTGTCAGACGAAATACGACACTTCTCTAAATGGTCTGACTCGAACACTAAAACAAACATTTAATCAATCCTTACTCCTGATAATCTGAGACAATCTAAACAGTTCTAACTCGGAAGGGGCCGGTGAGATAGTCTTGTGGTTAAAACCTTTGCTCATGGTGCGGGAGACCCGGGTTTGATTGCAAACATGGGTACAACGTGCAAGACTATTTTTGGGGCCTCCCAACGTAAAATTCCTCGAACACTGCTAAAGCTTAGCCAGTAACATAGACATTTTCTAACTGACTCGATCGCTAAAACCAACACCTAAACAGTCCTAACTGGGACACTAGCATATATCTTAAAGTTTACTCCGCCGTCCAAACTCTCACGCCAAAAGATAAGTTACTCTTATTTGAAATAAAATCCCCACTTGCATCACCTGTATAGGTGATACAATTACTGGCAAACAAGGATAAGTTGGACCGGCACAGAGAATGCGTTTCCGAGAAGTAGGCGATGCACGGCAACGGCGAAACCCATTTGGTTTGTGAAAGATAGAGCAGATGTGGTCTAGTGCACGTGCAGCGCATGACGATGAAATTGATTCCGCGCGTACCAGCAACCGGAGTTTGCTGAGACAGGCCACGCGCTTCACCCATCACACTACACTTGATCGCTGTCACCCTTGGGCCCTTTCGCTCACAATGGCAGGCACCAGTGGGCGGCACTGATACATGCTAATGCGGGTCAATTGTCAGGTCGGTGCTCAACTTATCCTTGTTTGCCAGTACATGGATCTTGATTTGATTTTTTGGCTTTATACCACATTGTGGAATTGTTAGTCATGACAAATTTATATTATGGTGTGACTGATTTTGTGCCATGTAAAATTCAGGTTATCTGTCAGTGAGGTCTGAACGTTGTCTCAAAGAACGATGCTTTCACTTTATGACACCAGACACACATGTATTCCAAAGAAATTAGATAAAGCGAGATGTTTGTAGTTGTTGTTATTGTCGCCCGTTCCGATCCCCTCTAACACGCTCTTCATTTAGATACCGGGATGGATAGTCTCAATGATTCTTTGCATTATATCATAGTGAGAATAATCATGTACAATGTGAGATTGTATCTCTCTCCCCTCCCCGACATCCCCATATTGACCATAAGTGCTATGTTCTGCACATGTGAGTGAGTGAGTTAAAATGTCACTTTGCCAATATTTCAGGCATATCGTGACTAAATCAAGTTATAGATCAATAATAATTAAAGGTAAATAATAAAAAAAACTGTCAACAAAGTACAGTTAAACAACTAGGATATCACAAACATAAATATAAAACTAGTAATCAAATTTAAAACATTTTAACTATAGAGGAAAACACAATATAAAAAACAGGCTACAGCTTGCCAACAGCTGAAGGTAGATCACCATACAGGAACCATGGGGACTTACAGTACCGTTGCTACCTGCATGGACACTAGCTGTATTTTCATCATCCCTTCAGTCGCTGGAGATTGTAGTCAAATCTAGCCATAATTAAAACAACACAAAAAAATACGTTTAAAAACCTGGTAAGTTTTAAATTTACTTTGAATGTTTTGGAACTTACGTACCCTAAATATTGCCGACGTGACGTAAACTCACTCACTCACTCACTCACTATTACATGCTGGTTTTAATTCTAACTGTGCAGATCGAGTTGTTTTATTGTCCTTTGACGACATGTTTTGTAATATGTAGATATTCTTTATAAACGTCAAAATTGTTCTCGTTATGATATGGTGAAACATTGCTGGTGTATGTGCTGATGTTAACTCTTTCAATACGACGAAAACATTTCACAGCTGCACGTATATCCTAAGGACGTGATAATACGTCCAGTCATCTACAACCCTTGCATACGACCAGATTTTCCAGCTGTAGTCTCTGAATTCGATGGACGAGATATGACGTCGAAGTTTTTACAATGTTTCCATACGAGGGACGTGATAACCCGTCTACTCCTACTAAACATATTTCACTGTTTTCTAGCCGTGTATCCTCGTCCTTCGAATACAATTCGTGTACTTTGTGACAGTGTGATGTTTAGGATTTTCCTGATTTTCTCCCTTGGTCAAAACCACGTGCTATATGATCTTGACATTTTGTCACAATATAGCGTTAAGTGGCTGGTCGTTGAACATCGTATCAGACTGCAAGCCAAGTTCTATCTGCCATTAGTGATGATGAGAGTAGCTGTTACGACGTTTGACGTTTGATTATTAGCAATGTTCTTTGACTTTGATTGTTCTTATAGTTGTTACCACAGGTAACACTCGTTTCCTTGGATTGGGATGTCATGACCCTATAAATGATGACATAAGTCTACTAAATTGTGGTTGTTCTTCCACCATAGTGTAGTCACTGGATTGAAAGAAATTGTCACAATTACCAGACTGATTTGTAAGTTCAATTTTGTTATTCCTTTTAGAAAAACAACTTCATTTCCAATGTTTCTGTGTTAAAGACGACCTTTTTTTTCTCTTTTGGTCTGAAATAGTTTAATGAAAGTGAATAAAGATGTTTGGAAAACGTTTCAGTTCATATGGATTTTGATGTTATGTTAGTCATGAATGGTCCATGTCAACCGTTGCAACCATAACAGACGTGATATCGCGTCCCTCGTATGTAAGTGTCATGTTGCTAAAAATAGTCTCGTATTGAAGGGTTGTGACCCCCCAGACGTGATATCTCGTCCTTCGAATGGAAAGAATTAAATATTAACTCACTCACTCACTCCTGGTTAAAGCTCCCCTTGATGCATATTGGCAATCGTGGATTGTAGGTATTCCAAATTCTACTTAAATGCTCAACATTAACAAAAACAAACGACGCCTATTTTTTTGCAGTTCAAAATTTCTGCAGTTAACTTCCAGTGAATATCACCTAAAATATCGCACGCCAGTCTAATATCCGTTGACAAGGACATAATCTGTTTGCCTGTCATGTGTGATATCGACACATACAATTGGAACTGGGGTGAAGACCTTGATTCATCTGTAAACTTTGTGTAACACCATTAGAGCACAGTGTGCCTCTTGCTTAACCCAATATTTGCCGCCTAGGGGCACACCTTTTACAGCACCTCTTGTTTACAGATTGCATTTGCCTGGTTTGAATGGAATATGTTGCATTTCGCTTTCTGTTTTGTCAGTAGGAGCAGATTTGGACCTATTGTCTAGTGTTTTCAACTAAATGAGGCAATTTTGTCAGTGGGTCCCATTTCTATCACTGCTTACATCGGGGCTCACTGCAAACTCGATCGCTTGTTCCTGCAGCAGAGAAACAGCACTTTTTCGTGTGCCGGAGATTCGAGAAACTAAGGGCACTGACGTCCCAACTATCGTCCATCGCTTCCACAATTCGCCATTGTGTCAACAGTGACTCGGGAGCTTTTTAAAGGTCACATAAACCCTAGGGGGTACAAATACATAAATCACTAACTGGCATCGTTATAAATGAAACCCCGTCATTAAAACTACTCATTTCGACCTTTAATTGACTTAAATCGACCTTTTTGACAACAGTGCACAATTCTAACCCGCGAACGAAATTTCAACCAATCAGAGCGGCGCGCATCTCTGACGTCATATGAGGAATAGCTTTGGGGGCCGATGCAGAATTCATCTACATTTTAGGGGGTAAATTATCTTGTTTACAGGCTTGTATAAACCTGAAATCGTGACAATTGTTGTTTACGATAGTTTATACATGTAAGTAGCTTGACTCAAACGTGCCATCGCACGAATAAAAGTTTGTTTCAGTCGATGTCGTTACTTTTTGACGAGACAAAATGAGTCTAATAGCGTGGTTGTAGACAGGCATTACAGAGTTAATGCGCATGTCAGGAAGTCATTGTTTGCCAGCAGTTGAGATGCTTATCGATAGGAAATCTAGCCCAAAGGTACGAAGTTCGGAAAAATTCATGGATATAATATTTTCGAGGTTGCGTTTCTAACCTCGAAAACCTCGAAAATTAGATACCTCGAAAATTTCCCGGTATACGGTATATGTTCTCACAATCTACTGTCATTTAATTTTGTCTCCTGCTTTGCCTAGTTTCCGAGTTACAACTTGTTTTCATAGACGATTCTGTCAAAATCGATTGGTGTCGTTAGGCCCTATTTGTATAATGACTGATCCAAATTGATCCCATTTTACCTCCATAATTAATCATGTCATGTAAAAATCTGTTTGTATTCTCAAAACAGTGTCGGCCCATAAGTTTTCACATGCAATACATCAATTAATACTCCCTTGTTGTTACCTGTGTTAGGTGGTATAAACCTACACATGTTATTTGTCATCATTCACTTGATGGTCAGTGAATGAATTAATAACAGGTATAATTATTGGTAACACACTTAGATTACCCGACAAAGGTTCCCATTTGGCATTTCTTGTGTCTGGAGTAAATATTCAACATTATAAACATCGATCAAAGGATTAACCGATAACATGCTGATTGATTAATTACTTTTATCTTACACAGCGGAATTGTCAAAAGGTAGTGTTTATGTATGTAGATTTACTAATCTATACTGAATACACTCTGTCGTGTCGGTGTCTGCGTAAAAACAACGTCCTTCTTTCAAAGGATTAACCGGCAATACATTGATTGATTGCGAATTATTGGCTAACTAAATTACTGTTTTTAATGAAAGGCGGACATTATGCAATTAGTTGCCAGGTGTGCTATCTTGGGTGACCAATGAGACTATACACCAATACCTGAAAAGATTTATCACTTTATCGTATATTAAACTGTTAACAGACACATCATTTGGAACAGTTTTGTGGATATTGATGGATACATTCCTCGAACAAGGTAATGGCCTGATATTGTTCCTATAACTTTAATCTGTTTTAATTTTAATATTTGCATTTTGTTTTTATTCATTTGTCGTAGCATTCAACAGAATCATTGTTTTCGCCGTGAAGTGTAATGAGACAGATAACATGCACTAGGGTGTGTGTGCGAATTATGATTCACATTGGCAAACTATCAAATGTCTAGATATTACAGTTCTGTTATAAATTCACTATAAGTATCAGCAGATCGTCTGCTTTTTATTTAGTTTCAAAATGCATACAAGTATGATAATAAACTTATTAGGATTATAAGACCAAATATACAGACGCACATTAACTAGTATCTACATACTGGTGATGGACATTAACCATGGGAATGTAGAAGGAATTTGTCGCGCAGTATTGTGACTTCGACCCCCACCTCGCTTCCGTGGAAGAAATCGTTATGTTATAAGTTGTGTCATGCAAAATCCGTTTGGTTATGATTCCAATACATATTTAACTACGAGTAGAAAGTAGTTTTGATTTTCTAACTTGATGAAAACAAACTATAATCTCATTAATTCTAACAGATTTTTTTTATTTTTAAAAATGGCGGCGCCCTGTCGGGAACATCCGCCAGTCTGAGGATGAATGGTATTTAGGTTTGTTTTCACCGAGTTACAAAATCAAAACTACTTTCTACTGGTAGTAAAATATGTATTTTATTGATGGCCAATAGGATTTTGCATGACATAGCGTATAACATAACAATTTCTCTCGTGGCAGCGAGGTGGGTGTGAATATAATCGTTATGTTACAAGTTGTGTCATAGAAAATCTTTATGGTCATCAATCATATGCATATTTTACTAGAATTAGTAAGTAGTTTTGATTCTTTAACTTCCGTGAAGCGATCTGAACACAAGTAAGATATCGTTTCAGGCTTCCACGACGCTCGCTTCGCACTCACAAACATAACCCATTTAGCACGAACTGTGGGGTCCTGTGGAAATCTGTGCATGGGGACACCATCGCCCGACCCCTAGGAGCAATTCACGAGAAAGCAACGATTCGGCATGTCGTCGTTGATGTCGAGAAATCATCAAAATGATGAGCGTGCTACACATTTTCTATACAACTAACTGAAAATCGTTCCTCATATGACGTCACTGCAGTGCTCTGGCGACAGAGTTACGTAACCTGTCTGTGGTTTCGTTGGCGGGCGAGAGGGAGACAGGCGACTTTTTGGCCACTTTTAATCGCTCGGTATTAATTAACCACAAGTTTTTAAAGAATAAATTTGGTGTTCCGCATAAGACTAACCACAAATCTTTCATATGTAATGGTTAAAAGAGTAACAAAAAACAAAGTTTAGTGGTTCTTTAAGTATTGGCATCATAACGAGACATGTCATCTGAAGATGATCCATGCAGCTGAACGCTTTGGTCGTGGTTCAGTGACAGTGTGGGGTTGCGTTTCGCATGAGAGCACGTTTAATCTCATTACCGATTCCGGGGCACTAAAAAGTCAAAACGTTATCAACACTATGTACTTTACACAACCGTCGTGTCAGATTTTGATAACCTCTTGTCAGTCGATTAATATTCCTTTTGGCGCTGTCATCACCCATTTGTAGGGAATCGAAACATTACCATAGCCCACAAGAAGGGTCGATATGAAACAATGTCTGCCATCCTTGGGATTATCTTGCAAGCCAGATTTAAGCTAGAGATAGTCCTGATTAAAATTTGCAGGAATTGGCAAAGACACTGCATGAAACATGTGGAAGTTGCGGTGGCTGTGCGGGTTAGGCGGCTGACTTTGCATGCTGGCGATTAAGTGCCTTACTCTGAGGGTGTCGGTTCGAATCCAAGGTGGGACTCAACCCAAGAAAGGTAATCGAATCTATACTTTACTAAGATGTTAAGCAAAATGTCGGTACCAAAACGTCATTTTTAGTTTTGTGTTTGCTTATATCGGAGTAACATGTGTTACAGTAACCATTTCAATTTGGTTTGGTGGAATATTGCGTAACGATAAACTCACTAACGCACCGACTGTCAGTTTCTCTTACTTGGGTTGGCATTCCAGATATGAAGACGTCATTTTGTCGTATTTTCCATTTTCAATATACTCCCAAATACTTCTTAAGAGAGGAAGATTCTCCATTTTTTACTGGAATCAATTCTCATATAAATATTATTTTGTTAAGGAAATTGAATTTGTTCATAGTACAGTAGCTTCATATATAACGGCTGCGTACCAAAATCAAACCACATGTAGTTTGTTTGTGTCCCAGGCGGAGGTTGAAATACTGTAAAAGTATTGTCGCCCTTGGTGGGTACCGTAAGGCCTTTACTTATATAAATATAATTTGTGCCATCGCAGTGTAACTGACAATTTCAGTTGATGGCTAAAACTGGGTACAATCGCCAGAAACGTAAACGATGGTTTAAATCCTGATGGGGAACCACACATGTCGTAGAAGTATCGCAAGTCCATATTCTCCCTAGTGTGATGGTTCAACTTAGTTAATGCTGATTTCTAGCTCTTTTGAACAATGTGTTGTTAAATGATATTCTATCCTTTTATACATACAAATTAGTTTCAGTTCAAATCTGTGACACTGGATTTCACACTGTGAGATTCTGGAAGCTATTGTCACCGTCCGAGACCAGGATACACCTGTTACGTGGGGATGTCATACAGTAAAAGGTCCCTAGATCTATACTGCTATAAAACTGACATAAAGCGAAGTCCGAGGGGACACTATATATTGATTGGGTTCAAAATGTCAATGTATCTTTTGGACTGAACCTCACACGAACACCTTTGTCAGTATTGATCCAAAAGCCGTTTTATGTTATGCAAATTCAATAGGCATTACTCTATCCGGACGTATATTATATAATCCTGTGTATCCGTTTATAATAAAATGTACAAACAGTCGCCTGGGACATCAGAAAGCACATGATACATATTATATATGTTAGTTGATTTACCCTTTGTTAAACTCCCCTGCTATGATAAGAAGGAACACGTCACTGGTTCACACTACCCGGACCTTCACTAGAAATAGTTCAACTCGATAGCAAATAACGGAGTTTATATGGTTGCAGTACAGGATGATTCACAGAATATTGCCAGCCAGACACTTCCTCTACAAAATCAACTATGTGGATAGCCCTAAATGTACCTTTTGCAACGATCATGACGAAACAATTTATCATATCTTCGGGGAGTGTGACACGGTGGAAAGCATATGGCGTAAAATGAAAATACGGCTTAGAACTGTAGACGTAGAATTGAGTCTTACTAACTCACAGGTAATGTTTGGGATTAAAGAATAGTATAACTATGCATTAAATTCGATAATTATTTTAGTGAAGAATATTGTATACAATTGTAGTAAGAAAGATTTCATTCCAAATACTTCATACATCAAGAGACAAATCATACACTATTATAATACCACAAAACATGTATACATTAATCTTGACGAGGAACCCCACTTCCTAAAAGTATTGTCCAGTTTACACATGCTATTCAGAACCGTTGAGTAAGTAAATTATCTCATTGTACATGTAAAAATGATATTGACTCTGTAGAATTATACTGAAGTATTATCAACCTTACACGTACGTATTGAACTGTACACTATTACACATGTCAACCTGTATGTATAGCTGGCGAAAAAAACAAAATAGAAAAAATGTATTGATCCAAATCTAACACACCTCCAAGGCGAGGTGATATATTTTTCTTTTCTTCTGCATGCAATGGTTCGTTATATATCCAGTTGCTTTGATTTGGAAGATCGGGGTTGCCGCTCCTGCATTCGTCGTCCGAGCATATCCCACACACGCTTTATGGGGGAGAGGCGGGGGGCACATCGCTGGCCATGGATGGTGCTGCCAGAGATGATCAAGGACAATGCGAGCATGGTGAGCCCTGGCGTTCTCATCCTGGAAAATGAAACCTTGTCCGTGGCGGCGTGCAAACGGCAGGACGTGTGGCGTGATGATGTGGTCACGGTAGCAGACTCCAGAGACTCTCCCTTGGCAGATGTCGGTACTGCACTCCACGTGATCCGATCCCACACCATAACAGACCCCCTTCCATATTGATAACCACTAACATCACACGGGACCACCAGGCATTGTTCCACTGCTGGTGATGATGGCACCAGTCATTCCGGGCCTGCCTGTGACGGTTTGTTAGGGGCATCGGGATGGAAGGTCGCCTTGCTCGGAGGTGTTCAGAATGGAAACTGTTCCGTATAGTCTGTTTGGAGATACGGCTCCCAATGGTGTGTCCGTGTACTTGCTGCAGCTGTGTCGCATTTTGTCGACGATCACGGAGGGCTCCAGTGATGATCCGCCGGTCATGCGAGGTCTCTTCCAGTGGCAGTGTAACGTGCCCACAGCCCGCTGACCAGAGACTGCGAGACACCCAGTTGTGTTGCTGTGTGGGCTTGTATTCTTCCAGCCTGGAGCATCCCTGTGGCTCTCAATACTTTGTCTTCTCGTAATCTTTGCATTATGGACAAAAAAAAGGTGACATGATAGATTGCCATGGCCCTAGACCGACATCTTTAGCCATCCTTGAACGCGCGGCACGTGCATTTTGCCATTTCCATGTGTGAAACATGGTGTGATTTTTCATTCCCACCTCCAGGTGCGTCTGCGTCCAATGTTTTCGGGTCTAAGGACACCTGGTGGTTAATGTTCAACATGGTGAGGTGGGCCAATGGTTATCCTCCACATACCTTAAGTACTCAGAGGAAAATACTTTCCTGTGTTTTCGCCGCTGTGTTTAACTTCGATATCTCCTACATTTTGTGAGCAGTGTAGTAAGAGTTTACGTGATTAATGGGTTATTTTGAAAACAATAAAAACAAAATAAAAGTTATCTCTATACATAATCCCATAATGTAGTGAAATTTGTAAAACCCTGTCATTCATATAGTAGGTCTGACAACAAAAGTGACACATTACCTGGCTACTCTCTTCCTGACACAGTTCCTTCACAAACGCACAGATCTCCCTACAGCAAAACTGCCACCCTAAAATATTCGTCTCTACAGAATGTCACTCTAAGACTTACACAAACTTCTAGGTATATAATTGCCGAATGTGCCGCTGAGACTCGAACCACGGACCTTCTGATCCTAAGTCGGTCGCCTCGTCCACGTGATCAAAGAGGTTATTACCGTCAGCCAGCTGATAAGGTAAGGATGTCATCTGTGGGATGACTCCACGCCCTGCTCCGTACTGCAACATATTGTCTGACGATATCGTGACTGTAATATGCTAATTACTGACTGTAAAACGTCAAGTGCTCGTTCCAACTTCAAACATACCAATTGCAGGCAGACATTCCTGACGTGTCATGTCAAAATACCTTTAGTATGAGGTACAACCATATCAGAAAAAAATATTCGTCTGTTTTTGTCACTGAAATTTTCATTAACACACAACCACTGTGAAGTCTACCCAACAAGTACACATCATAAAAAAAACACTTGCAGGGAATTGGACCGTTTGCATGAAACTTATGACACGTTGTGAATGGAATATTCATTTTTCTAAATATATATACAATAAAAAATGTGGTTCCCAAATAATATCCCCACTTTACGAACGACTGTTGGATCTCAGCTACATGGACCATATATTGTTATATGTAACTAAATAATATCCCTTGCTGATCTCATCTTACGTTATTCAAAGAAAATTTGAAATTGGAGTAATTATCTAAAAACCAGGGAACACGTTGTGTTTCTTCTCCACATCGAATGTACTAGCTAGTGTTGTCGATACGTTCATAGTTTCAAAGTGGCAACTGAGTTTGTAATGGTTCACTGGGATAAAAGAACACTCATTTACAAAATGTGGCATGCCCAGATGCTTTGAAATCAGATATTTATAGACTGACATTTTCTTCTTCCTTCTTCTCTCAGCGTTGTCTAAATTCTTCTGGAAACATCCGAAACACAGCTAACAGTGCGCGTGCTGATATACACGAACCTGACCTCTGCCTGTTGCAAACTGAATACACATGTTGTGGGTTATGGAGCCATTTGTCACAGTTGTGACCAGCATGAACACAATATGTAATATAGTACAAATTTAGTTTCATACTTGGCAGTTATAAGAAAAACTCCTAATTCAGAATTATAGATTTGTTACACTATCAATTCATGGAAGAACGGCTGAAGTCGAACCTGTTTAATTTGGTTGATTTTAGTTCTAGACAGATAGAAATGGGATAAATGTAACCACAGACTTTTAGATGTCCCCAAATTTGTAAATATCTGAAACCAGTTCATATGTAACTGGATACATGAATAGAACATGAAACCAAGAGCTTATAGCACCTTTTCAGGTACACTTGTAAAGTACATGCATGTTAAGTGTGTGAAATATGTGTCACTCTTAATCGCGAATCCTTACTCCGAAGTTCCACCAACATACTATGTGAAATCTAAATTGTTATTTGTTGCATGTGATTGACTATGTGGACGTTTCAAGTCATAGTCTAGGATGACATGGACTACTGCAGCAGCGACATCACTGTCGATCGAATTTCACCTCATGTAATTTGATCCAGGATGAAACATAACTGAGGAACTCATCTTTTGACCCCAAATTATTTGATCTTTTTAGCATAATATCATGCATTAAATATTCTTAACTTGTTTCATCGACAATGATGCTGGTGCTCTGCACTACTGAGAGACTATGTATGATAGAAAGCGCTCAATAGGAAAGTTTTAATGGTTTGGAGGTTGCATGTCACCAAAGTATTTGACATGAGTAAGTTTTTGAGAAAGTAAGTATACTGAAAACTATTACAAACGCAATTTGATATTCATACTTTCTTTACTCATACAAATGTGAACATAAATAAATGTAACTGGCAGATATGGTTTAAGTGAACATCTGATGACAATGTCATCTGAAAATGTCCAATCAACAACAACATCAGTGACGCAACAACGACATCAAACAAAGGGGGCTGTGTGTGTGTGTGTGTGTGTGTGTGTGTGTGTGTCACTTGCAGTCAATATCGTGTGTCTTCAGCATGCGCTGCAAGACATGCTCGGAGTCTCCGGGGCACTGAAAGACCCAAATTTCTCAGGAACAGCTGTTGGATGGTCTCCCAGTGATGTTAAAGGGCCTGTGTCAATTCAGCAACTTATTTCGAACAAATTCATCCCACAGATGCTCGATTGGGTTCATATCTGGCGCCAATTAAGGCCAGTCCATCACACGAACATTCTCAAAATTACCAAAATCCCTTGTTACCCTGGCTGCATGGGGACGTTTATTATCATGCTGAAACACAAAATGGTTATGACCACCATGTTGATCCATCACTGTGGGGGTACAGCCAGACGACGGATATTGTCCACATAACGTTGAGCATTCAGAGTGCCTTTAACCACTACTTCCTATGTGGGATCGGAAGTTGGCATTGATAGCAGACCAGATCATGACACCACCTCCTCCAAAACGATCATGTTCAAGGACACACTTTGGCTCAATTATTTCTCCTCGACGTCGATAAATCCGTTGACGTCGATCTGCAAAGGATACGTTAAACCTGGATTCACCTGCAAAAATGACATCTCGCCATGGCCTGTTGCCAGGATTGGCCCCATTAGCTGCCCATCGCTGTCTGGCAAGTCTCTGACAATGCAATAAGGTTGCACACCGGATGTTGAAAGTCTTTGCACCGTTTGGGCGCCGACATGACGTTGTCTTGTCCCAATTGTCCTCCTTGCCGTATCAGCAGCTGTTTGGAACCGATTTCGCAAGTTTGAAACTCGGATATTGCGGTCCTGTCAAGTTATCATTCTATGCCCATCTTAAATCGCAGTGACTGTGTAGCCTTTTTTGATGCATTTTAGTAAATAGACAGTGATGTGAATAACATAATGCAGACAAAATGCGTCTGTTTTACGAAACACTTTGCTTGGCAGTAGTTACTCGTGATATCGCGAGAAGAGAGCAATAACACGATTTGGGGAAATTATGAGAATCATTATCAACTCAGATAAGTCTGTTCTCTTTGAAGTAAACGACCAGCCTAAAATTGTATTTTCACAAAGAAAGACAATATGTCCAGTGTCTAGAGCGCGTTCACGCATAATCAGATGCAACGTTACATATAAGAAGTCGTAATTAAGAATTGGAGTAGAATTGATAAAATAGGCAGATAACCCAATCACACAAATCAGTCAGTCAACACATATCACCACGCGTAGCAAACGCCGATGTACTTCGGGTTCACGTTCGCCTACGAGACCTATGTTGAGTGCATTTTCTTGTGTAAAGTGTATTGTGTATGGTTTCTGTAGAGAACACTTCTTCAGTATATACGCAATAATGAATTCTGATATTTATTATACTCGCAAGATATTGTTTTCCCCAAAATTCTGAATCGATGTGAGGATGTGTGCATCATACGTTGGTATGGTAGTTCGTTCAGTTGTTCATCACAATACAAATTGGAATATCAGTTTCAAAGTTAAATGGCGTATGACCTTTACAGGATGGGGGATGAGGGCAGCAACATGCATCATATTTCTAATAGAGGGCGCTTATTTGGGAGAGCGTGCTAATTGCGTGGAATACGGTATATTTTTAGGCAGATAATACACAAAACAACATTTGTCTCATTCTTGTTTCCTCCTAAGTTAAGGTCTGTGTTTTAAGTAACAATTAGTTAGATGCTAAATTTGACACTTTGCAGTTCTTGATAGCCCATGAAAACAATGCCAAGAATAGCGTCTGTCTCCCTTCTTCCCTATCTGCAATGAAATGCTCTAAATGAAACATGTCTAGATTTACTCTTAATCTCCGATGTCACGGGAGCTCCTTTTCAATTTAAATGAATTATTGGTTTCTGTCAAAATTGTATGTATTCAGAGACTACGCGTTAGTCAACCAAGAACACAGCAGAACAGATAGCGAGGAGTGTTGGAATGATGTTGATTGTTGCTTCACCGGGGCATTTTTGCAGGAACCCTCGGTCAGTTGCCTGACCACTACTTCTGGCTACACCAGACTGGGAGGACAATAAACAGAGCATCAAACTGTAGCAACGTGTGACCATCCCAAAGAACTTCCATCATCTATTCACTTTACATGTACGCGATTTGTCTCTCCCAACAAGAAAACCGGCCTCCAACAAAACTGAACCAGCACCTATTCGTATCTCCCTCCCCTTCATAGGGAAAACCTCTCACCACATCAGCCGTCTCCTCAAGCGAGAAGCAGGCATCGAAACCTACTTTACCAGCTCTACACCACTAAAAACCCTACTGAAAGCGAATGGCAGGAACACCTCTAAACGACAACATCAACCCAAAGGTGTTGTCTATAAAATCAACTGTGACTGTTGCGAGGCCTATGTAGGCGAAACCTCCCGGCCCATAAATATTAGAATCAAAGAACACTGATCATCTACCACTAAATCTGATAGAAAATCGGCAATATCAGACCACATCATCAACTGCCCCAATCACAACATAATTTGGGACAATGTGGAGACATTATCCAAAAACCACCAGGACTTCACCAAAAGGAAACTTGCAGAAGCAGTTCAAATCCGGAGACACAAGCCCTCAATCAACAGAGACCAGGGATATCTCATCCCTTCTGCATACAATGATCTGATAAAAACAACAGATTAGAGCACCTCAGCCATCATTGTTAATTAATCTCATCAGCATGTATATTTTGTTTTTACTTCCACCACCATTGGCTTCCCATTGTCACTACATTATTCCCACCGTGCCTTGTTGTTATTGTTAATCCCCCTGATTCAGTCCTACATGTTGTTATTACTTAATCCCTGTTCATGTATATAAGTCTGTTCTGTGCTGTAGTACTTCACTCTTGCTTGACAACGGTATAAGAATCCATACCGAAACGTCGCATCATATATAATAAAGAAGTTGTTATCCATAAACTTTCTTACTTTCTTATTCTCCATTCGGTGTTGATAGGACTGAGACGTGTAAATAGACATACACTGTCCAGACGATCTTCTGACATAGTATTAATGTTCTACTTTGGCAATGCCAGGCTCCACACTTACAGACCAACCTGCTCGCCATCATCACCTGATCTCGCACACATAATTACATCCGGATTCTTCTTGGATAACATATAAACAACGCTCAAACTTGTCGGTGCAGTAATCTATTTAAAAAATTGGTTGTCGTGTCTTAGGATGTTAGGATGCCATACAAGATACAGATACTGTCACCAAACGTTCAGAATCTATGTTATTCGTTTTTCATTATCTCTTTTCCCATAAAATGTATCCCATATGTATTTGGTTGCTTTCTTTGCCACCAATCCTAAGTGCCATACAATTTGTCTTGTTGCCTTTTGTCTTGTTTCCTAAATGGTTTAGCTTCAAAATCTATTTCATATGAAAATGGTACACTTTCTCGGGTTTTTTATAATCTATTCATTTTAATCAGAAGTTTTGAGTCAATGCACCAATACTTCTGCCCTATGTAATTCTAAGCCTTGACATGTGCGTCTACGCATTCCTACTTACGATCTCAAACATATACCTTCCTCAGTCGTTCCACATCCATATTCTACATTCCTACTTAAAAAATATAACATACGCCAAGTACTTACACCATCTTAACAGAAACGTCTACCCTCGTATAAACTACCACCCTTGTCCATATCCCAATTTTGCTTCCACCGTGATATTTCACCTGGTCGCATCTCCCTCGCTAACACTGCTGACTTCCACTTTGACTTTTACAACTCCATTAATCGCAAACAATTCACGACACATACTTCCTCCCTGCTCCTATCAGCTTCTTCATGCACTGTTAGTTTTATTACTTTCATAAATAAGTTATGCAGTCTTATGGAGTTGGAAGGAGGTCAAGGTATTACAGTTTCTTCTTCTATTAGCAATCTCTGCTGTCTTATGTTTGCTGATGATGTGTCAGCAATAGCTGACCCCTGTGCACAGTTGCAAAAAAAGATTAATGTACTGGGTAAATTTTGTGAGCAAACGCGTATGAGCGTGAATTTAAAGAAAACCAAGATTAACGTGTTTAGAAATGGTGGTCCCTTGCGCTCATATGAACATTGGTTTTATAATGGTAATGTCATTGACACTGTATCATTTTACAAGTACCTTGGAATTATGTTCACTCCTAAATTATCCTTGAGTAAAGCTACATCTTGTCTTGCATCACAAGCTAATAATACAATATTCTCTGTTAAAAATTTCCAAAGGAAACTTGGCAGCATTAATTGTACAGATTTATTTAAGATTTTTGATTGTATGATATCAACCATACTATGTTATGGGTCTGAAATCTGGGGCACATCCTACTGTAATACTATTGAATCTGTCCATATTAAATTTTGTAAATATGTTTTGAAACTTGTTCTGTTCTGTTAGTTTTTCTGACAATTTCAGGATTTAGCCTTGTCTTTTGAAAATATAACTGGACTAATGCAATCATATCAGAAATAAATTTGCGCCCAGGTAGGTGCTGTGAGGATCGTATCATGTTGTTTTAACGTGTAGGCAGAATGTGACTGTAGGCAGAATGGGCAGATGCTAGTTGAATTTACCATCCATTTCATCATTTTATTTCCTCATCAGTTAGCATTTCGCTATTTGACTTAATGACAATTTTAGTTTCAACTTTTATAGAGGAGGTGATCACATATGTTTATTTATTTGTAAATCATAGAATCAGAGTTTTGGTCATTATATCAACCAAACGTTGGCTTTGGTCACTTTAGTCCATTTGTCCAGGTTTCCTTGTTATACAAACCATCTGAGAGCACTTAAAGCTATACAACAATGATCTATACTATGAGCAATACGAGCTTTGACACAGAGGAAGAGCGTCGTTTTATTGACCGACCTGTGGATTGAATCTAAAATCCTTTTGAAAAAGTAGATCAGTCTATGGAGCTTAGATAATCATATTTACAGATGCGGAAACCTTTCCTGATATCAAAGTATGACATACGAACTGGTGGATAAATGTTTCAATGAAATACATTTGACATACAGGTCAAATTATCTACGATTATGTTGGTGATATCTGGTTCAATTAATTAAGATACAAATGTGGGAATGGTATTACTGCTACTGGGGTGTACGTTCAGTTTGAAATCAACTCCTGTAGTACAATTAGTGAGTTTGGTTTTAGCAATATTCCAGCAATATCAGAAATATCAGAACATCAGAAATGGGCCTCTCCAAACACTTATGTCTTTCGAATGTCTCTACCAACAATCTGATTCCCACCCTAAAAACATACGTCACCATAGTTCCCGTTCTGTCACTAAAGCATACATCTCACAAAAGTCTGTCTCCCTGAAACACACGGCTCCAACAATCTCACTTCCACCTTAATGATTCCAAATTAAACATATTAACTCACCCTAAAACAT